CCTTCACGTCCCTCTCTAAACCCCTTCCTTCCATTACCGAGTCCCCTGTCCCTCTCCCTCGCCCTCTTTAGCGTTGGTTTTCTCATCTTCCTGCACCCCCACTCTCTGAGTGCCCAGCCCCCTCTGCGACAACCTATCCCCTCCCTCTGTGCCCCTTCCTCCTTTCCTCCCCCAGCCCAGCCGCCCTCTGGGAACATCTTCCCCCTCCTCGGAGACCCCTTGTCCTTCTCTCAGAGCCCCGACACCCCTCCCCAGGGCTGCGTCCCCACCTACAGTGCTCTCGCTTTTTCCTCCTGCAGCTCGGCTCACCGAAGGGCTCCTGCACTGGTACAGCGCCGCGGGCCTCAAGGGCGTGTACCTGGCCCCTGGCCTGAGCTACGACGAGCAGACCCGGGAGCTGGTAGTGGCCGAGGCCGGCCTCTACTCCGTCTTCTTGTACGTGGAACTGCATCGTGTGGTGAACAGAGCTGGCTCTGGCTGGGTCTCCACTGCCCTCCACCTGCAGCAGCGGGGTGAAGGGACCGCAGCTCTGGCCCTGACCTTGGACCTGCCGGCTCTGTCCTCGGAAGCCCGCAATTCCGTGGCTGGTTCCCAGGTTGGCCTGCTGCACCTGAGTGCTGGCCAGCGCCTGAGTGTCCACCTGAATGCCACCACCGAGGCCCAATTTGCCTGGCAGCTTGCACAAGGCGCCACAGTCCTGTGCCTCTACCCAGGACTTCTACCCACCAACGTCCCCATCGGACTTCTCTACCCACAGTCCTCATGAGGTGGGTCCCGCGTACCACTCCCTAGGGAGAGACTGAATTCTGCCTTGCTTCGTTGGGGCCTCTGATGATGGGTCCCAGCTATTCTACCTCACCAGTCTGGGCAGGGTTCCCGGCTGCTCACCCCGGCCTCGAGGACGCTCCAGGTCCTACTCTCACTCCCATCCCGAGTCAAACCCTTGGTATTTATTCTGAGCCTGAGCTCAGACAGCGGACTTTTTATTAATCAGTTCAACTTATATTTATTGAGCATCTACTACATGCCAGGTACGGTGAAAATGCAGGGCTAGAGACATCGGCAAGCAAAACCGACCTCCCCCAAATCCTTATTTATGTTAGTATGTGAGCAATAAAGACTCACCCCGGGCCCCCACAGGATCTGTGGGGCTAGCTGTTGGGAGTCTGCGGAACTCTGTGTGTCGTGTGAGCTTCAGTCATCCGCGCGAGCTTTATTGAGCATCTGCTATGTGTCGGGCACTGTTTTAGGTGTTAGGGACAGGACACACAGCTGTGAACAAGGCAGACCAAGACCCCAGCTTTTGCCAAGCTGACGTCTCATAGGCTGGCTCGACACTGTGACTGGGCCGTGGGGGAGTGTGCGTGGCACTAAACAATAAAATGTTTATAAACTTAATGACTGCTATGTGTTGAGCGTTTACTGTGCGCCAGACTGTGAGTGATTGGAGGCTCATAACTACCCTATGCTTGAGGATTTTATCATTTCCATTTTCCTATTATCTATGATCTCGAGGTTATTTTCCTCGACTGTAAATTCGTGGTGGAAATACTTTCTAGTGTAGTTCTGCAGGACGTCGCTTGCCGATTCTGTGTTCAGCGATGTCACACCAGTGACTTAAAATCAGCCACAGGAATCAGCAAACGCTACAAAGTCCGGGCTCGATTTATTGTCTGTTGATTGTCTAGACTTACAGTGATGGAGCAAAGGATGTTAAACATATAGATTAGACTTAAAAGTGCCTCTCATCCGTGCCTGTTAGACTGTGAATACCACACGAAACATCAAGAGAGTCTTCGTCTGGTGTTTTCAAACCATTATCTGATTTAGCAAAGAAGTCCTTCACACCACAGATGAGCAGATGCAGTGCGGACGTCTTCGCCATTCCATTTGACCTTAGTTTTTAAAGGAAAACATCAACCTATGTTCACTTGTCTTGTACCCATTGGTTGGCCGTGAGTACCAGAGCGGGGAAAGTCGAGCCCGGGCCCCCTTCCCAGTATCTGCTCGTGCTGGCTCTGAGGGCGTGTGGGACAGCGGCGGGGCCCCGAGAGGCAGAGGCGGAGGCGGCGGGCAGCAGGTCTCCTGGTCCAAGCGGTCTGAGTGTCTCTGTGGCGCCCTTGCGACGAGAATGGGGAGGCCGGGGAGACAGCAAGGATAGGCCCAGGAGTGACGCCGTCGGAAGAGGAACAAGCCGTAAAAAAATCTCAACATGAAAAATGCCAACCGATGAAAAAGAGGATGAAAAGGAGCCAATGCTAATAAAGAAGAGCCCTCACCCCCGTCCCGTGGCTGGTGAGTGCTGTGCCTAGAGGAAATCTTAGGCGGTTCCTGTTAGGCAGCCCATCCTGCAGTCTAGATGGGATGCAATTCGGAGGCTTGGAGAGCCACAGGCAAGGACGGAGGAAGAGAACGTGGGAAGGACTGGGGAGGAGGTGAGGCAACTCTTGCAGGAGCCGAGGGAGGGAAAAGCAACTGAGTCGCAGTCTGCGGGTGGTTAGCACCGACCCCCTCGCCGTCACCGTCGCGATGAGTTTTGCCTCATGCCTGGAATGCTCGTGTTTTCCCTGAAGTTAACGGGGCGACACCTCTGCTTCCTAAACTTGCATGTTTGTGATGTTCCTTCATCGTAAACCTTCTGTCGTTACTTGTTTCCTATGGGTCTCCTATTACCAGCTTCTAATTGAATGTTGTGTTTTGACCCAATATTAAGTTTCTGTCAGCAGGGGAGTTTTGCCTAGTGCTGGAAAGATGCTTCCATATTGTGAAGTAGATAAAGCAATATAAGAAGGCAAAAAAAAAGAGGAAAAGTTGAAGCATTCTGTAAGAATCAACTGACTATATGGGATTTGCAATGAAGAGTGTTTTCTATTTTATTTGTAAGCGGTGGGCCACACGATCATCTATGCCCGTAAAATTTATAGCAAACACACAATTCCATTTCCCCTCTCTGGAGAGCTGCTTGTTAAAACATGTACCAGCACACCACGCTCCCTCTCTCTTCACACCCGGCCAGTTCCCCCGCCCCATAGATTTCGCTACCATGTGGATCTCACGCCCACTGTAAGACTGGCTGGACTTTGGCTCTCCTTACAGGGGTTGAGGTAGACACAGAAGTCTCCAAGTGGCCAAGATGGGCCTTAAGAGGAGAGATGGGAGTGGACGAGGCGGAGAGGGGAGGTTCTGGTCGGCGGTGGCCAGGAAGGAGTGTGTGGGATGGGCCGTGAAGACGGGGAGGTGGAGGTGAAGGCCGTCTGCCTGACCCATCCTAGCCCTTCTCAAGGGGTTTTCCCTCCTGAGTGGGCAGAACTGACTGACGTGGAGCTGACACTCATGAGTATGGCCATATCAGTCATTAAATTATTGTTATTATTATTTTTAAAAAATTATCTTTCAATCGGAGGTGACATACCATATTATTTTATATCAGTTTCAGGTGTACAGCATAGCGGTTAGACATTTATTTAATTTACAAAGCGATCCCCCCGATTAGACTAGTCCCCATCTGGCACCACACATGGTCATGACAATATCGTTGAGCATATTCCTTGTGCTGTGCTTCACATCCTTGTGACTATTTTGTAACTACCAATTTGTTCTTCTTAATCCCTTCACGTTCTTCACGCGGCCCCCAGCTCCATCCCATCTGGCGACCATCAGTTTGTTCTCTGCAGCTGTGAGTCCGCGTCTCACTTGTTTGTTTATGTTGTTCTTTAGATTCCATATATAAGTGAGATCGTATGGTATTTGTCTTTCTCTGTCTGACTTATTTCATTTAGCATAATATCTTCCTGGTCCATCTATGTTGTCGCAAATGGTGAGGTTTCACTTTTTTATGGTTGAGTAATATTCCATTGTGTACATGTACCACATGTTCATTATCCAGTAGCTTATTGGTGGGCACTGAAGTTGCTTCCACATTTTGGCTGTTCTAAATAATGCCGCAGTGAACAAAGGGGTGCATATATATTTCCGAATTAGTGTTTTGGTTTTCTTTGGATAAATACCCAGAAGTGGAATTCTGGGTCATACTGTAGTTCTATTTTTAATTTTTTGAGGACCCTCCAGACTATTTTCCGTAATGGCTGTACCAATTTGCAATCCCACCAACAGTGCACGAGGGTTCCCCAGTCATTCAATTATTAATCTAGTTCCAAACTGGTTGGCAAGCACCTGTTATACCCAGTCCCCATTCCCGAATGCTTCTGGACTGCTAGAATGGCCTTTGTGACCCCGCACCTTAAAGCCTTAACACTTTGTGCACCCCCAGAATTCATGTAGGAGGCGTGGTCCCCAGGATCCTTGGTCTAGGATCCAGTGTCAAATCTGATTGGCCAACATCAAAACAGTCTGGCTACGCTGGGTGTTGCCTCTCCTCTGGTGCAAGTGATTGGGCCAGGGTGGACACATGACACAAGCTGGGCCAATCAGATCTCTGCAGAAACTGTGTGGGTCTGGCGAGAGAGAAGCATGAAAGGGCCCTTGTGGAGAGAGAGAGGAGAGGAAGATGCCCAGGAATTCACAGGTGAGACCACAGAGCCTGGATAGACAGAGGAAGCACCTAGGTTTCCAACTTCTCTTCCTGGTGACATGGGATACTTAATGATGATTGGGAAACCTATTAGTTTCCTGGGATGCCCTAACATAGTGCCACAAACTTGGTGGCTTCAAACAACAAATATGTATTATCCGCCAGTTCCGGAGGCCGAAGGTCCAAAATCGAGCTGTCGGCAGTTGCGTAGTCCCTCCAAAGTCTCTAGTGAAGACACCTTCCCTGCGTCTTTCAGCTTGCAGTGGCTGCTCGCAATCCTCGGTGTCCCTTGTCCTAGACCTGTGTTACTCCACTCTCTGCATCCATCTTCACACGGCCGTCTTCCCTCTGCGTGTCTCTGTCTTTGCTTCTCTTCTGTTCTTACAAGGACACAAGTCACACTAGCTGTAGGGCCCATATTACTCCGGTGTGACCGCATCTCAATTACATCTGCAGAGATCGTAGCTCCAAATCAGGTCATAATTTGAGGTTCCAGGAAAGACATGAATCTTGGTGGGGGGTGGGAGACACTATTCAACCTAGTACGTATCTCCCTTGGGGGCCATGAGAAACTTGAGCGTCCTCCCATGAGATTCCTTCTGGAGTGCGTTCTTGTTCTGTGCTGTCAAACGACCTTTACGATAGTAGTCCTCAAGGCCGTTGGTGTCTTTCCTGGTGGCCTTGGCATCTGAGAGACTGTCCTACTTTCTAGGTTATGTTGGGTCTGAGAATATCCCACAGCAAGGATGCTTAAGCCCCAAATCTTGTAGGATGTTACCAAGACTCAAGACAACAGATGGAATTCTACAATAGCGACAATAACCACAGTTGACATTTATTAATGCTTACTGGTCCCAAACAGTAATTGCTTTGCAAGGACTCTATTAGGAAGGTACTATTCTATGTTTATTCACATTTTACAAGCAAGGAAACTGAGGCCTAAGTCACACAGCGACTTAGTGGTTGACAGTATAAGTTCTAGAGTCGGGCTTCCTGAAACCCCAGTCACTTCCAAGTGACCTCATAGAATACATAAAAGTTTGGGTCACATTGGGCCCTCTCCCCAATTCTTAACCCCCAGAACCTCAGAATGTGACTGTATTAGGAGACAGGGTCTTTACAGAGGTAATTAAGTTAAAATGAGGTCAGTGGGCTAGGCCCTAATCCAGTATGACTAGTGTCCTTATAAAAAGGGGAACTTTGGACACACACACACACACACACACACACACACACACACACACACACGTGCGCACGGACGCGAAAAACACCATCTAAATGCGAAGACGGCCATCCATAAGTCAGGCCTGGAACAGATCCTTCCCTCACAGACTCAGGAGAAACCAACCCATCTGACACCTCGATTTTGGACATCAGCCTCCAGCACTGTGAAAAAATAAATTTCTGTTGTTTAAGCTCCCTAGTTTGTGGCAGCCCCAGCAGACTAATATGGAGGGTTACAGGAGCTGATTCATTTCATACACACTCAGTGCACAGCGCCTGGCTCTCGATGGGCACTCAGTACATTTCAGTGGTTATTAGGAGCACACTCACACAGAAAGGAGGTTATAAAAAACACAGTGCTACAACAGGGCGGGTGTTAAAAGCTGATAGACAAGGCCAGTGATACGGAGACAGTATGTCGTGGAAATAGAGTGGTACGTGAGGGAAGTATAACAAAGACGGAACAACACGAAGGTAGAATTCTCAGGTAGTGACACACCAGTATACAGCGGGACTTCTGTAATGGCTCATGGGCATGTTACAGAGAAATAACAGTTCACAGGAGACAGGTTACAATGACACGGTTGTGATGTTATAAAGACGCCCTTGCCAAGACGGGGGGTT